AATCCCTGAAAAGTATTTCTGGGCATCAGCTTCTCTTTTCACATTCCTCAATGAAAACATCGAGAACGCAGAATACGACGACGACGCTATCGCTTATAGCTTCCCGGAAGATGAAGTACGTATCACTCATGCAGGTAAGACTCCACTTAAGAGTGATAAGAACAAGTCTGTAAACGTATGGAAAATCATTTGCTAAAAAACGCCATAATGAAATGATACTTTTGTTTTTCTTCCAATAAAATTATCCAGTCAACTGGAGTTCACCCTTGAACCTGCCAATCCAGTTGACTGGAATAAATTATGAGGTTTAAAATGAAAATCGAAACATTACAAAAATTCATAGCTTCCAAAATACTTGACAAAAACGAAAAAGACGTAACAATCGAAGAAATTGAAGAAGTCGGTAAAGTTATCGACAAATTATTAATAGGTGATATATATGGACAGACAAACATTCAAGAAGATAATTCTCGGGGAAAAAGGTAAAGGTGGTTTAACCTACTGTGCTTTCTGTGAATATGATGATATAACAGATTGGTGTGCTGCATTCGTTTCTTTTGCAATGATTTCTGTAGCAGATATAAAATCATTCCCAAGAACATTATCCTGTTCACACATGAAGAAAGTGTTATTCAGTAAAGTAAACCACGATTATAAGACAGCAGAGATTGGTGACATCATACTTTTTGAAACACTTAATCCAGAAGATGGTCCTGACCATGTTGGTATCGTAATAGACAACAACGTAGATGCAGGTATTCTTACATTAATAGAGGGTAATACAGGTAGCGATAACTGTGTGTACTCTACTGTAAACACATACAATTATAACTATAACAACTCAAAGTTTGATTGTATCATCGATATGTCTGATTATTTTCACGATACAAAAAGTGAAGATTTCGAAGAAAAATATTATCGCATTCGTAAAAAACTTGAAGAAATTTTACAGGAGGCTTAAGAACTAGACTATGGGCAGACACGGGAAATTTGAACGTGGACACTCAAAATGTCTTAACAATCCTATGTTCAGGCACTTTGCTAACGTCTTAATCGATAGAGTAAGAGTTAACAATCTGCCTGAAGAGATTGATAAGAACTTTTTATTATACCATGTTCTCCTCTATGGAAGAGTTTTATTATTCCAGTCAAATGGAAAGTATCACGTGTATTGGTTCGGCGGTGGCGGACAGAAAAATGAATATCACATTCAGAATGAATTTATCATTACTAATCCGTGGCTTCCAAATGACAATATGCTAAGTTTCACAGAAGATAATGCAGTTATTCTGTATTCAGATGTTACTTCATATCTTACAAATTCCGACATAGGTCTGTTACCTTTAGTCGAGAAATACGCTGAAACTGTAACTACCATAGATAAATCGATAGATATTATTGCAAAAAACTCAAGACTTCTTGCATTACTCACTGGTTCTACTGACTCTTTTGTTCAGTCAGCTAGACAGTTTGTTAAACAAGCTTTTGATAATGATGAAGCATTCTTATTCATGGAAGAGTCTTTAGTTGACGCAATTAAATCTAATCCGCTTACAGATAAAATGGAGTATAAGTTGTCTGAACTTATCAAAACCAGACAATACTACATATCTGATTTCTATCAAAAAATAGGTGTTTCTGCAAATCAGAACATGAAAAAAGAACGTTTAACAGACGATGAAAGTCAACTGATTGATAACGTATCTTGTGTAGACTTCAACCACATTCTCTCATATCTTAACGAATCCGCCAAAAAAGCTAACAAATTATTTGGTCTTAATCTGTCGTTTGAATTAAACGAAGATAAAGACGATACGGAAGATGAGAAAGACACTGATGATAAGAAAGAAGAAGAGAAAGAGGAAGAGGGAAAGTCCAGTCAACTGGACAATGATGATGATAAGGGAGATGATAAGAGTGAGTAGTTTACATTTACAAACACTTCGTGAATTAGACTTCAACA